TAGAATAGAATAGACTATAGGAATGGAACGGAATAGAACAGAATACAATAGCAGAGTTGGAAGGGACCTTGGAGGTCTTCTACTCCAACTGCCTGCCTAGACAGGAAACCCTACACCGTTCCAGACAAATGGCTATCCAACATCTTCTTAAAGACTTCCAGTGTTGGGGCATTCACAACTTCTGTTCCACTGATTAATTGTTCTCCCTATCAGGAACTTTCTCCTCAGTTCTAAGTTGCTTCTCTCCTTGATTAGTTTCCACCCATTGCTTCTTGTCCTGGTGCTTTGGAGAATAGCTCGACTCCCTCTTCTTTTGGGGCAACCCCTGAGATATTGGAAGGCTGCTATCATGTCTCCCCTGGTCCTTCTTTTCATTAAACCCATTTCCTGCAACCGTTCTTCATATGTTTCAGCCTCCAGTCCCCTAATCCTCTTTGTTGCTCTTCTCTGCACTCTTTCTAGGGTCTCCACATCTTTTCTACATCGTGGGGACCAAAACTGAATGCCATATTCCAAGTGTGGCCTTAGCAAGGCATTATAAAGTGGTATTAATCCATCTTCAATTAATTCTGTAGGTCAGCCATCACACCTAAGTGCGGTTTGATGATTAAAGCTCAAGTCAATTGTGTTTCCCTCTGTAGGAGGTCCATCTAGTTCTAGAAAAGGGCCAGCCTCCAGCCTCCAGAGTCCATGCTCCCACAACATTGCAGTGCACACCTACAAATGAACCCGGCCATAGTGCGCTCTTGGAGAAGACTGTGAAGAAGACTTCAAGTGCCAGAGAATACAACTTTGTCACTGATGGTGAGATTCTGTCCAAATACAACTGAAGCCTTAAAAAAGGAGAGATAAGAAATAAGGTTTGGTTAGAGCCATAACAGTCTAGTATGTCATAATGTGGTTTGTTTCGCTCTGCTGTACAAACTCTATTTGCAGTTTATTGAATAAAACCTACGAAACCAAATAAGACCAGGTGCGCGTCCGATCTTTCGTTTTAGAATATCAGACAATAAGAGTAGAAAAGCTGTACAAGAGACACCGTAGAACCGTCTTTATTCGATTGGTCTGCATTTCAGAAAAATAGTGCTTTGCTTATCAATTCCTCTTCCCTTTTTATTTTTCTATTAAAGGCGTAACTTTTTGCTTCTCACTCTGTCTTGCTTAACCACAAAAAAGTACGCTCTGCCTTTGGAATACTCATCGTGTTTCATTTTTGCAGGATCGAATCTGGGTCAGTCCCGATCCTGCAACGTTATTCTGGGACACATATATTGGCCTTCATTCTTGTTTCATATTTACACTCTACATCCCTATTGCAGAACCAGATTGTCTAATTCTATCGCCAGCCTGCCCTCTTCAAATTGAACTTGGTTAAATAAATAAATAGATGTTTGCATTTATGGTTTTAAACATTATTGCTTTTATTGGAATGGTGCTACTCAAGCCCGCTCCCCTGGGGGGGAAAAGAATGGCCTAAAAACAAGTTAAACAATGCTTCAAACCACAATAGATTAAATCATAATCTATTTTTCACTGAACATCTATAAACTACTTCTTGGTTCCTGCATTTTTTTTATCTGTCCTGGAATCCTAACACTATTTTCAGATGGATCTCATTCTCCAAGTGTTTTATACTGTTTCATACTGTTTTCGTACTGTTTTTGTACAGTTTTCATACTGTTTTCATACTGTTGCAGCAACTACAACATCCTAGGTTACATACCAAACAATGTTCAGCTTTCGGATTGTTACAGATACACTTTAGCTTATTCAGATTCAAGGCGTAGGATGAGCAGGTACAGATTGAACTGTCAGCATCTTCAGTTGCGCAGTAACATGGTTCATTTCCTTTTCAGACAATACATTTGAAGTGAAACTCGTGAAAAACAGTTCTGGCCTAGGCTTCAGTTTCTGCCGTGAAGATAGCGTCTCCCCAGAACAGCCGGGTTCCAGTATAGTCAGGGTGAAAAAGCTCTTTCCGGGACAACCAGCTGCAGAGAGTGGGCAGATTGAGGTCGGAGATGTCATCATGAAAGTCAATGGTTCTTCTCTAAAAGGATTATCTCAGCAGGTTAGTGCCTTCTACCCTAAAGATGTTCTGACCTAGGCTTCTCCAAAAAGCACGAAGCAGATTCCTGGTCCCAACATAACCCCTTTTATTAAACGAATGTGAATTCCTCTCATTCACCTTCAGCAAAGGCCTGGCAAACAGTCTTTCAAAGGTGAATTTATGACCACTGACCTTATCTAGCTTGGAAAGGTGCCATGCAAATATTTTCCAAACGCAGTGCTGTGCAAGGAAAGACTTGGTACAGAGTCTCAGATTCACGGATAGATCTTCACACTCCTGAAACCAATGAACGAACGAATGAATGAATTGTTTCCGGAAAAAGCCCAATGCCCTTTCGCTCCTCTTTTATTTCCTATGGGAGGGGCCATTCACCGTCCACCTATGGCTTTACTCCCAAGTCGACCCTGATTCCTGAGTTGTTCTTTCCTTCTGGCAGCTCTGCCCATGCGCACACTGGGAACAGGCTCCAGCTGTTCCTCTGCCTCACTGCTGTTTAGCTCCGTAGGCAGCTGAGAACTGCCAGACGGTCTTGGCCCCAACTCTGCCTCCAACACAGGGCCTTCGTCCGAGCCTTCTCCAGCCCCCAGGACTGGCCCATGTTCCTCCCCAACCTCCTCACTGTCCGACTCTGCTGCCAGCTCTGCTTGCCTCTGGCAAGCCACAACAGAAGGTGAAGGTTCATTCTCTGAGTTTGTGGATTGGTTTCTGAACATTTCATTGTCAGGGTAGGTAACATCTTCAGCAGAGTTTAGGGGATGTCCTTCCATTTATAAGGACTTTGTGTGGTCAGTAGGTTTTGTGATTGGTCAGGTGGGGGTATGTCAAGTGAGGGTCTTGTGATAGGTCTTGCGATGGATCAGGTTAGGTGTGAATCATCAGTGGGGGTCTTGTGATGGGGAGGTTACATCAGGTGAGGGTCATTGAGAGGTGACCACACACAAAGCCCTTATAAACACAAGAACAGCCTGGGTAACAAAATATTTGGAAACCACAAGCTTGGAGAATAAACCTTCACCCTCATCCTACAACTGAGCTTACAGATATTTGCCACTATTGCAAACCTTCTACTGTGTCCTGAAATCAGTCCTTGACGTATGTGTGGTTCAGTCAATGTTCAAGTGTGGCCTTCAGCCCAAAAAGATTCTTCCTCCCTTCGTTAAGTGTTACCCTATTCGTTGCAGGCAGGTGCCAAATGTAGCTTATGAATCATGTTTTGCCCTTCAGGAAGTCATCTCAGCTCTCAGGGGAACATCTCCCGAAGTCACCCTTCTCCTCTGCAGACCGCTTCCTGGAATATTACCGGAGATTGATCCTACGTTATTGGTAAGAATTAAGAAGTATACTTGGCTTTTTGTGAAAACAGAGTCATGACGGTTTCCAAAGATTTAACCTTTACAGGATCACCCCAAAAATATAATAGTTCATGAATATTATACAATACAATAGCAGAGTTGAAAGAGACCTTGGAGGTCTTCTAGTCCAACCCCCTGCCTAGGCAGGAAACCCTATACCGTTCCAGACAAATGGCTATCCAACA